AGACAAGGCATTGGCTTCCTTAGAGCTGGAGTTATAGTTGTGAGATTCTGTGTGGATGCTAGAAACCAAAGTCAGGTTCTCTGAAGAACAGTAAATGCTCTTAGCTGCTGAGCCATCTCTCCAGCCCTATAATCCTTTGAATGTAGTTTCAATTTATTTTTAACCACTGTTCTCTAGTCTCCTCTTGAGTAACAATGAAGCACTTATGGTTTCTAAACCACCAATTCTGTAAGTCGTCCTTTTGGTTTGCTCTGTTTGGGTACTTTTCCCCACTGTGTTTCAGCATCCACAGTCTGCTCAATGAGCAGGTATAGGATGGATGGGGATGCTCCATTCCTGGAGCTGGGGCTGCTGTTGTGATCAGCATTGCAGTGGGGATTCCTCAGTGCTGTCCTCATGGAGAAGTGCACGGCCCTTCCCCTGGCAGATGTGATTCTGTGCTCTTTAACCTTCTGAATGACTGACATCTCTTCTGACATAATTTCCTCTAAAGCAGCTTTCATGCAATCTTTGGTGATTGCTCTGCCTGGGTTGGTGTTCATGCTGTCCTTCATAATGCCAACAGATACACTTTTGATCCCGGTTGCCTGATCTTGTCATTTCAAACAGTTCTTAAAGGTACCTGACCCTCTAACACTTGTGTTTGCTTGTCTAGAATGGTTTTGTCACTTTCTTGTGGCAGCTCCTGTGTACAAGTATCATTTGCATACCTTTTTTAAGCACTGGGTGTCAAAATGCTTTTGAGAACACAAAATACATTGGCAATCCACAAAGGAATGCCACAGAGAACAGGCAAGTCATATGTCTGGAGCTCTCTGAGTTCATGACTATATGAACAATGGAGGAATGGGGAGTCTGCAGTCATTGCTGGAGATTATGTGGTAAATCCTTGTGTAGTGCCACTTATTGTCTGTATGACCGAAAACACTCAAGACAGAAAAATGTTGTCTTTTCTTTCTCTCTTTTGGGGGGCCTACCACCCAGCTCCCAAACCAATCACACATGGAGGCTTATTCTTAATTATAAATTCCCAGCCTTAGCTTGGCTTGTTTCTTGCCAGCTTTTCTTAACTTTAAATTATCCCATCTTTTGTCTCTGGGTTTTTCCTTTCCTTACTTCTGTATATTTTACTTTCACTCTTACTCCTTGGCTTGCATAGAGCTGGGTGGCTGCCCCCTGGGTCCTCCTCCTTCTCCTCTTGCTCTTTCTTCCTTTCCTCCCAGATTTCTCCAGCTGTGGCTTACAATTCCAGTTTATAGTCTGCTTACACACAATGCATCTGCCTCTTTTATATGACAGATTTGTATTGGTTTGTGATTTATTGAAAAATTGAGGGGACTTTATAATAAATTACAGATTTGATTTCATTATGATGATTATAATGAAACCTTGCAATCAGGGAATAAGGGTGATCTTAAAAGTCATTTGTGGAAATTTCACTTAATAAAAGTGGTAGAGGGGGCTGAAGAGATAGCTCAGTGGTGGAGAGCACCACAGCTCTTGCAGGGAACTTAAGTGCTATTCCCAGCACTCATTGGGAGGCTCACAACTGCCTTTGTCTCCAGCTCTAGGGGATCAGATGCCCTCTTCTGGACTCCATAGGCACTGCACTCACATATACACACAGACATATAGACATTATTTTAAAAAACTTAGAAAAAAGAAAGTGGTAAAGTCCAATGTAAGCAGACATGGCTTTTGTTGTTAGGAAAGTTAACCCTTGTGTTGGAGAGTATTTCAGTGACACATGCTGACATACAAAATGCACAGTGGCCTTTCAGATGCATGAGAGCCACAGGACATCTTGTATTCTCTTGTACAGACTGAGTGTCTGCAGTTGTTAGAAGAATACAGTGAGCCTGGGCATGCTTTTGTAGCTAGTGGAACTAAGGCTAGCCTGACCCCGGGTCCAGGAATCCCCAAAGAGCACCACAATGGAAACAACTTAAAAGTTTGGTAGCTGAACCTGTTGGTTGGCCAGAATTCCTGTGGTTGAAAGTATAAACCTAATTCAAATCAACTGATGCAAGAAGAGGCTCAGAGAAGCTGCAAACCGGAGGAGTAGCTCTGGGCAGAGGAGTAGCTTTGGGCAGGGGTGCCCTCTCAGATGCTATACTTGGCTGTTCTCTAGCCCTCTCTTGCCCCTGCTTGCCCTCACTTGACTTAATTCCTAGGTAGGCAAGTTAGCCAGCAGTCTTACAGTGGTATCATTTCACGATTACAAAAAAATCTTTGTGACAAAACCCCTGAGGAGACTGCCTTACCTTGGGGTAGTGTCTTCTCAGAGACAATCATTTTGGCCAGGTGGCATTTAGTGCCTTGGTCAAACTTGTTCTACATCTGCAGGAACAGTCATGGTCAGCTCCACCAAAGCCACAGGGATCAGAAACAGCCATGGTCAGCTCCACCAAAGCCACAGGGATCAGAAATAGCCATGGTCGGCTCCACTACAGCCACATGGATCGAGGTTTACTGTTGGAAAGAGGTCAGATTTGATTATCGTTGTGAGGTAGTACTGGGATTAAAGGAGTATGTGTACCATGTTACTTAACAGGGTATTCAAAGAAATTTGGGACTCAAACAGTGAAAGCTCAAAATGCAGAAAATATTTCTAAGGAAGAGGAGGAGGAGGGGGAGGAAGAAGGAGGAGAAGGAGGAGGAGAAAGAAGAAGCAAGAAGAAGAAGAAGAAGAAGAAGAACAAGAAGAAGAAGAAGAGGAGGAGGAGGAGGAGGAGGACGAAGAAAAGGAAGAAGGAGAAGGAGAAGAGGAAGAGGAAGGCAGAAGGATTACCTTTTTATAACAAGCAGGCAATTTTCAACTCAAAGTTGACCTAATGGTATTTTGCACAGTATTAGGACACAAGCTCTATTTTATTGAGAAGCTGCCTATAATGTACTCAAGTTAATGGTTCTCCAAGTCATTTTCCCCTCAGGTGTATATTGTATAGGCTTATAGTCACAGTGCTCCTTTGCTGTGTTTGAACTACACACTTCAATGTTTAACGCCAGGTCATACATTCTGTTGCATATCTAAATTGATTCTGATGGCAAAGATCCCCTGTTGTGAAATTCTTCTTTAAGATATTTGAGAACTACATGGAGGGATGGAGGATGAGCTAGATTAATATTATACAAATCTGATTAACATCATCTGCTCTGTTTCAAAGGTCAGGTACACTCAACGAATTTGCTTAGAAATTATTTTGTTTATTCTGTGGGCATATACATCATGAGCTTTCTAAAGGTCAAAAGCAGAGTTTGCTCTTGGATTCTAAAGCAAGCTGACTTCCATTTACAGTATGCTTTAGTGACCCTAACTGTAGAAACAGGACCAGTTAAGGCACACTTCCAGTTTGTGTTTAATTGTTTCATGAGGAAAATCCCTGCTAGATTAAAGCAGTGCTGACATACCGTTTCTCCTAAATTACTTTTATTTTCAACTGGGTTCATAAGAGAATGCTATTTATGAATGACATTTGAACTCTGAATGTTGGTTTCATTCCCATTTTCTTTCAAAGATCTAGAAGCATCTTATTCACCTAGTTTCTTACCTGGAAACTGAACCAAGGTCAGAAGAGCTAGGACTCCTGGGTTTTATTAACGTTTACCTGGAAGGGGTCTGGAATCTTCATTAATTAATGTCTAATAAAGCACTGTGCATAGTGTAGAGAAGTGGTTCTGATCAGTTATCCAGTCTTCCTTACTTTGTGAGAAAGATCAGTGGGCTACTTATACACAGGAAATATTTTTCATTAATTATTTTAAATGTTTTCTTGCTTACCATATGTACTTTACAAAGATAAAAAGAAAAGCTCTCAGAGTATTTTGTACCCATGCTCATTAACATTCCAAGGGAATAACAAACCTCAAAATGATTCATGTATGAATCAGTGAGGCATGGCTAATTACAGTTTTCAGCCACACAGCCAGCAATGTTCACCATGAAGTGTGCTGTCTGGTAAATACATCTCTCTGCATTTTTTTGTTGGGGAAAGAGTGGTAGGAGATAGGGAGGATTCAAACTGTAGTTTTAAAATGTCTAAATATTTTAGGGGATTTTTACATTATAAATATCTTTCAGGCGAATATTTATCACAAGCATGACATCTTGTTATCAAAACAGAAAAAAAAAAGCCCCAGAGATCTGCCTTAAAAACAAACAAAATAAAATAAAACAGAATCATTGCAAATCCTGAGAATGGACCACCTTTTAGAACAGACAGAAACATCACAAATCCTGAGAATGGACCATCTTTTAGAATGGACAGAAACATCACAAATCCTGAGAATGGACCACCTTTTAGAACAGAATGGAAGAAACTTCTTTGGACATTAGTTAATATAACTTATGATTTGCATAAATTTTCAAAGAACATTTTGTATTGAAGTTTAATACATAAATTTCATCTTCTTTACAAACTCATTTTTACTGTGATTCTAATACAGAACCAAACTTAAAAGGCAAAATCCGAAAAGCAGAGTGCATACTCTGCTTTTTGGATTTTGGATGTCATACTGAAACACTCAAATGTGGAAATGATTTGCAATCCATCCTTTCAACGTCTAGAGAGGTTGCTGGGTCAACACAGTGCTTAGCGTGTACATACAAGGACCTAAGGTCAGTGACTAGAACCCATGCAAAAATGTCGTGTGTGGTAGTGCTTCATTGTAATCTCAGCTCTGGGGAGGCAGAGGTGGGTAGATCCCTGGAGTTTACTCACCATCCATCCTAGCCTAATTGATGACCTTCAAGCAAATGAGAGACTCGGTAGATGGAACCTGAGGGGCGACACTGTCAGGGTGGTTCCTGGCCTCCATAGGCATGAGCACACACATACTTATGAATCCCCTCACACACACACAGTCATGAATACACACATACACACATAAAAGAAAAAAACTTCGTTGAAAACATTTTCTGTCAATACTATCCATTTTATTAGTTATTTTATTTATTGATATCTAAAGAATGCATTAATTAAAAACCTTGATGTCTTCATTAAAATTTTAAATTTGTGTAATTATAATGGAAAAAGTACTACATGGTTTAAAAAATGTTCAGAAGTTTAGAATGGTGTATAGTCACAAGACAGTCTCCTGATGTCGAGGCTGTCTCTGTCTTCCCATTTGGAAGACTTCCAGGAGTTCTTCAGAATCACTAGGGATTATCCCAGGAGTTTCCTTGTGAGTGCAACCACAGATCCACAATTCTGAAAAAACAAAACAACAACAACAACAACAAAACATGCTTGTTTTGTCTGTGGGTTGTCACATAGTGGTGTCTGTTGACAGGATGCTGTCCCAAAACTACCTGGGCAGGGTAGACCAGATAGTATAGGTCTATGATTTTCTTCAAACTATAAAATTTATCAGTTTCCAAAATATACCTGCTCCAAAAGCTTTATGTGTGTACTTACAGACACTAGTGATTGTGTGTGTGTGTGTGTGTGTGTGTGTGTGTGTGTGTGTGTGTGTGTGTGTGTATGTTTGTGTAAAACCTAATCCTTTTAGGTTTATACAAGTGGATATTATACATGCACTGTCTGGCAATTACATTTATGGACTAATTTAGCCTTTTTCCTTAAGACTTTGACTTCATCTCCTATGATTTTACTTTTCATTAACATGACTTTTCACTAACAAGACTAACATTTGACTATCATGACAAACTTGTTTGCGTCTTAAAGACTTTGCATTTGCTGCTCCCTCTGTCTGGAACTTTCTTCCACAGATTTCCTCACAGTTTGTCTCCTCATTTCTTCAAAATCATACCTCTACAAACAGGCCTTTATTCAATGACACCTCTTTCGAGAGGCCTTCTCTGATTACCCCATCTCCATGACCAACGGACTGGTCTCTGGCATATCTGTGGGCCATTTTCTTGACTATTGATTAGTATGGGCAGGCTCAGCTCACTGTGGGCAGTGCCACTCCTGGGCAGGCAGGACGCGGCCACACAAGAGAGGGAGGTAAGCAAGCCAAAGGAGGCAATCCAGTAAGTCATCACTGCTCCAGTTCTTGCTTCCAGGCTCCTGCTTTGGTTTCTCTCCATGATGGGGGGAACCTGTAACCTGGAGGCTGAAATAAACTCATTTGTTTATGGTGTTTATCATAGCAACAGGCAGCACACTAGAACAGTCTTCTACTAAAGAAATACAGCTTTTTAATTTTTAGGAAATGTTTTTAATGGAGTTTTATCTTCCTGAGTGATGAGGTGTCTTTAACACTACAGGGAACCTGGGGTCATGTGTTCGGATGCATCATTTCTTGAAAGAAAGTGATGAGAAATCACAGCTTATCTCTGAGCCCCCCTAGTGAGATCACAGCATGGACACTGAGCTTAGTTTTATGTACCTTATGTTCTAGGTAACTGGGAGATGACTGCAAAAGATAGCACTAAGAAGGATTAAGTGTGATTATTTATGAGGCATAGTTACAAAGAGACAGCGTGCATATGTTCTCTAACTATAGGGAATATCCTGAGCTCTTCAATATCTAATGAGTAGATCTACCCAAGGAATCCATTTAACATGGGAAAACAAGAGAATAAATTGGATGAAATGATAGAAAAATGGAGGGTGGAAAATTTGAACAATATTTAGTATGTCATAAGGCGGCTCTTGCTCTTACTAGCAACTAGATTTTTCCTGACAGCCAGAAAATCTCCAGGATTACAAGCTGGGGTTTGTGAAGGAGACTGGAGCATTTCTGGACAGCTGAATTCCGGTCTCTCTATACTTTGTACAATAAAAACAAAACATTGCTGTCCTTGTTTTAATATATTTTCATTTTGGATGCCTTTTTTCCAAATAAATCCCTTCAGAATGCTCGTCTGAATGTCTAATTTATGACCTGTAACATATGGCTGAACTGAATTATGCAGAGGGTTGACCTCCTTGACTGCTAATGACTGCCCAGTTTTGAGAGTGTTTCCACAATAAAGATTTCTTTGTAGGTCCTATGAGCTTGAGGAGGATGCTCTTGGGACTCCATTATGTGTTCTCCAGGCTCCCTACAGAGGAGGATGATCCTGTATTTGTTATAATGGAAAGTTGTCTGTGCTCATTTGCTTTATGACTTCCTTGAACACTACAGGGCCCTTCTAGTTCTTACATCATGTGCATCCTGTGGCTGAAGCATGTGTATGGCAGCATACTCCTTCCTTGACTCCCATCAAGGAGTAAGTTCATCAGAAAGTGCTTGCTTCTCAGAGCTTGCATTGTATTTGCAGGAGACGAGGGAAAAGCAGAATGACAAACAGTGACAACAATCTTAAGCGAAGCTGTTTGCTCTGAATGAATGTTATGGCAGCACAATCTACAGAGCTCTCTCTCACACACAAAATGTCTTCTAGGCCTATAGACTACCTGGATCTTTACTCACCCTGCACGAAGCTCTTGAGTTTCTTTAAGATCATGAGATAAGAAATGAACATGTCTTCAGCAGTATTTTGTCTAAGTCTCCTTTCCCCGTCTTCTGATCTTTCCCCTATGCAGCCTACTCACCATGACTCCTCTAAAGTCCCCAAGAGTTCCAATTTTCCAGAGTTACTGTTTGGTTTATATGCCTTAATGAAGATATTTAGAAAGGAAAGTTTATCTTAATAGTTCATATGATAAAGATACAAGGGTAAAGTGGTAAGCAGCTTGGAATATACGTGCGTGTGTGCACATTGACACACACACACACACACACACACACACACACACACACTACTTGTACATATCTACTTCATTTTGGAACTATTCTTATTCTACTAGTTTCTGACACAGCTATAGCACATCTTTTAGTGACCTGCCCTCTTATTTCCAATGGCATGGCTTCAATTTCTAACTTTCTGTGTCCACAGAGGCTACTCTGTCTGCTCATATGCATGCCTGGCAACTTAGAATATAAACATACCCCTGAGGAATCCCCTACAGACTGATGGGAATTAGTGTTTCAACAACCCAGATCTTCTGCTTCTCTGGTGGGACAAATCAATTCAACATTGCTTTCTAAAGATCCCCAGGAGGACTGAGCTGCACATGACATGATGAATGGGCTACATTGGTGGCAGGGTTGGGGGGCATGTCTTCCCTTCCCTATTTCACTTTCCTATTTTCTTCCTGGTATTTCCTGTAATTGCTGTGTGATAAACAACTCTCTGTTGAATATGTATCTCAGGACATGCTTCTGGAAAAACCCAAACTGCAGTGATTATTCAATCAGTTTGTAGATTAGATTGTAACCTTCCAGTTGATTGTCTTGGTACTTAGGAGTTTTGGATTCAAGACCAGATCCAAGCTCCAAGACCATGCCTTAGTGTTCTTTACAAATGTATGTATTGCTAGAAGTCACAGCTCACCTTTAACCCAGAAACATCCACAGCCGAATGCTTATATTCATATAGCTATGTTAATATGCTGTTTACCAATGCTATACTCATCATTAGATACAACGTTATATCTTAAATGTATTCATATTCATCTTCAAGTAGAAAATGTAATGACTGTAGGCTGATACTGTCTTGGGAGGGGTTTAAATGTTGAGATTCCTAGCTTCCTCTGGCCCAGGGATTTTATTCCACTTTTAGTTTGGCTCTCTTCTATGCAGAGACACATGTGGTAAAATCTTTCATGCTGATCAGCTCGAGAAAAGCTGGAACTGGCAAGCCAACTAATTCTGCTCATAAAAGCTAGAAAGTATTGTTGTATTATAGGAAATAACCCTGAGCTGACAGAAACATATGCTAGAAAGCCCGGAGGGGCTTCAATCCCTATGCACAAGATTAATCTGTAGACATACTGACCTGCATTCTTGCTATTTTAACTGTAATTCTTTTCAGTTTCACCTTAATTCATAACTTACCTAGGTCTCAGTATTAATAGGCATATTTGTCCACAATCCAGGTTGAAAGTCTCTGGGAGTCAAGCTTCCAAGGACATCAGTATTTCTCACCAGGATGCTTTGTAGGACATCTTGCTACTCTGCATGGGGTTCAAACTTCCAAAAGGATGAGCAATCTGAGACTCAGTGCAACCTCCTGCAAGTAATGAAAAGAAGGCCTGGGTAAGGGTGCTGGGCCACAGATGTCAATCAGGGGCATATTTTAAGGCTTGTCCAAGCATCACTGCTCCTTGTTTCACTCTCAAAACTTTAAGGAAGACTAGCAAATGTCTTTCTTTCCTTGTACTCAGATTTGGGAGAGAATAGACGACGAAAAAGGAAGGGGGCATCTCTAAGAAGAAAGAGCAGTGTAGTGGCAAGATTACAGTCCCTGCTTAGGAGCTGCATGATCATGTGACAATCATTTAGTCGCTCCGAAATTTGCAACTGCATTTATTGGAAAATTAAATTTTTTCTCTCATACATTACTAGACCCAGAACATGTTCAGGTTCAGAATTGGCTAAGTCAACAATTTCTCCAGTATTCAAAAGGCATGTGGTATAGAATACATTGAGAAAATGACTGAATTAAAATGAAAAAGAGCAAGCATAAAAGACCTATCTATGGTGATCAGAGATGAGTTTAATTGATATGGGTGAGAGATAGGGAGAACAGAAGGTCATCTCTAGATATCACTCAATTATTCAGAACTTATTTTCTAGGTTTTACTCATTGTTTGACTCCCCTAGTTGTAAGAAATATTGCAGCCAAATAAAAATCTACTTCTGCAAGTATCCTGGTGGAACAGTAAGACAATAAAGGACACCAATAAGTAACTTGCAGGGTTTTCTGGCAAGAGCCTAGCTGAAAACATTGCAAGGGCAGAGAATAAAGGCAGGGGAAAGGCATGGGAAGGTTGTGGTGTGATTTTGTCAGGATGTCAACGAAGGTCAAGGGTAGCCATATGCTGGATCAAGTAGAGACGTTGGGAACGTGTTCTGGGAGAAATATGAAAGTCTTAAGGAAACAGGAATGAGCCTCGGTGGGGAAGGGAAGTGCAGTACAGTTAGCTCCTTTTGGAGGAAGGGAAGCAAACGTACAGAGCAGGCTTTCATTTCAAGAGAGATAATCGTGTTTCTTTTTTTCATTTGGAAAAAGCCAAAGATTGTGAGCTTTACGACAAAATCCCCTTTCGAAGGGGAGTGTCACCCCAGACACTCTGCCCTTTGGCTTCCGATTGGCAGAGCGTAAGCTCGTGCTCTTCCTCTATTGGCCCCCGCGCCTGTCTCCAGGTGAGAAGCCATATTGGATCCCGCCCCTGCCGCGGGGTGGTGTGGGGATTGTAGTCCGTTCGTTTGGCCCAGCAGCGGCACTGTCCCTCAGCTCCCAGGTCCACCCCAGTGGGCACACGCTCAGGCGGCGCTCCTACCCCGCGCTCCCGCCCTCTGCTTTCCATTCCAGCCGCCACGATCTTGGAAGGTAGGGGCGCGGGCTGGGTTCCACGCGCGTCTGGTCAGTACCTCTGCGGCCGGCGGGGCGGGGACAGGCCAGCACCGCTCCTCTTAGGGGGACCGTCTGTCAGGAGGACTCGCCCACTTGCTGAGACTTCTCGGCGATGGGACTCAGGCGCCCCAGGTCTTGAGCACCTGTCGAAGCCTCAACCAGCCCCTGGGGGTAAACTGAGGCACGGGGGTCGCGCCAGCGGGTCCTCGAGGTGTAGTTGGCTGTGACTACTTTTGGATAGTTTGTCAGTTCCGTGGACAAGTGGCAGGAACCCTGACCCAAACAGGTCTGTGTTAAACAGATACCTAGCTCAGGAGTCCCCAAAGGTCTGAACAGGTGCCAGGGCAGCAGCAGAACAGGCACACAGAGGACACCGTTTCGGGAAAGAATTTGCATTGGATAAGTTTAAAACATAAACAAACGCAAAACAAACTCACATCAATTCACTGTGGTGGGAGAACTCGTCACTAGTTGGACCTTAAGCCTTCGTGCTTTTTAATTTTAATTTCACACGCGGGGATCTGGAAGCTGTAAACATTTGTAGAATAAGGAGGCAGGTTGCAGGTTGCTGGAACTGGAGCCCGTTGCCTCTGCCGCGTGACCCTGGACTACCAGCAAAAATCGGCTCCCTGCCCTAGTGGCCCAGAGAAGCGGCCTAAAGCCATAATGGACATTGAGGCCAGGCTCCCGAAAGTTTGTCATGTGAAAACGGCTTATTTTTGGTCTCAGGAATGTGCTGAAAATACCCCCTGGTTGTTTTGGGCAAACGCTAACTAGGAATAGCCCTGGACTTCCAGGAGCAGTCCCACTCGAACCTGTGCTTAAGCTGATTGTAACTGACAGCTCTTTTTTCTGGCTCCATTTTAAGGCCTAAGACCTGGGCTGCGGAGGCTTCTGGGACTTGTAGTCCCGCTCGTTGCACCCTACTCAACTACCAACTTCAGCTCCCAATGTGCCATTTGGCCTGGCGAGATGTCTTCTGGGAGTTGAAGTCTCACTACCAGGACCCCCAGGAGGTAGTCTTGCCCCTTAGAACTACGACTCCCACATGCCCTCACTTCTTGGCGCCTTCTTTGTTCATCCGCTTAATTAAGATGGGGCTAAAGAGCAATATTTAGTGAAGGAATCTTTTTTTTTTCTTCTCTTTTTCTGATTGAATATGCTATTCAAAGTATTAGATATGAGGTTTTTGCTAAAATCATGTTTACATAGTCTTCACATAATTCTGTATCTCTCATAATAAAAAGCTTGAGGAGATGGCTGAGATGGCTGTCATTGTTTCACAACTGTATTAGTATTGTGCTGTATATTTCATTGCACATTAGATTCATCTATAATTTAATCTCCTTTAAAGCGATGTGGTAGAGATATCAATTTTTATACATCAAACTGATTGGGGTCAAAAGGTAGGAAAGTTAAGCAACATGTTCAAATTAAGCCAGCTGGATAATGGAAGTACTGGGATTGTAGTGCCTTCTGTTTGATAGTTTCTTCCTAGCAAAGGCCCTACATCACAGAATGCATTCTGAGACTCTGGCCTATTGGACTAGAGAATACAAAACCTTTAAAGTGCAAATGGTTCTTCTGTAATTAGACACTAAATGCTAGTGTTGCAAAACCTTTTGAGATTTTTAAAGTCCAAAGCATAGAGTTCTGAACAATTGCTGGCAGTAAAGGTTTCAAAAATGTTAGCTATATATAGCTTGAGCACACCTTTATTTCAGCAATGAGGGAACTGGTCCCTGTGAGGTAGAGCAGTTTGCCTGGGATCACATCGTTGGTTTAAGTCAGAGATGGAACTATCCTCAGAATCTTACAATAAGCTGGAAGGCACAGTGGGTGTGTAGCTATTTGGATAATGTTACCCCCCCCCCCCCTTCCCAAGATTTGTTCTTTCTAGGCCACAGACTAGGGCCAGTTGTGCTAAAGTCTTCTTTCTCATTGCTACAGTTGTCCTATTTTATTAATTCAACAAATGCTTTCTGAGAATCTTTATATGCTCATCTCTTCAGGTGCAAGAGACATTTAAATGAAAAGTGTCCCGTGTGCTAGAACTGGAAGGGCTTAGGAATCATTTCTATCATTTTGTAGATAAGTGGGCCAGCAGCCTTCCTCTCATGCTTTGGGCCAAAGGGAAGAGGTTTTCCCGAGTCTTCACACGGCTGAACCATCAGGAGCCTGTTTGCCTCCTCTTGGTGTCCTTACTCCATGCCATTCCTGTAAATATCTGGTGGCATGCTTTAGGAATGCTTCTGCATTCTCATCTTCATTTGTATGTACATGCAGCTTCAATATGTTCCATTTCTGTTAGTTTTGTTTTGGTTCCCAATACTCTTTTGTTCCTCCAGAGATGAAAGAATGAGCTTTTGATGCTGTTTTTACATCCACAAATATCACAATCAAACACTTTGATATAAGTGTAGGAAATGTACACAAGATGTGTGTGTTACTCACATCTTTGGTTTGAGAAGACACATGGGCCCTTCAGTTATGTATTCACAGATATGTAAGCAAGCACCTCTCACCTTTTCTGTGTGAGAGATGATTTCTGGTAATTAGATAATGACATAGCAGCTTTGTAAATTATTGACTAAACACTCAGAGCAAGTCACTATGCAAGAAATTCTTCCCATCAACCTGTGTGACCTCTAACACTCTCTCAAGTGGTAGGCTGGTAATGCACTATCCCACGTGGCTCACAACTAGAAGACAGAGAACGTGGTTGTTGATTTGAATTCATAAGTACCCCCAAGCTCTGCTTCCACAGCATTTCTTTCAATCTCACTTTTCTCTTTTAATGTAGAAATGCAGCTTTGAAATATAAGATGCAGGTTATGTTACTTTCAACATGAACATGGCAGAGAGAAATCTCAGCCTCTGAGGTCATCTTCCAAAGGGCTATATATGGATATGTTCATGTCTTTGACTTCTCAGATGAAACAGCGATCCAGATAAAAGCAATACATCTCAGTCATGTGGCATACTAGCATTTCAATCCCAGCTCCTTCTCTGAGGCTTCTGTGAGACTTGTGTCCTCTCTGCATTTTTACCTCATGGAGTGAAAATGAAGAAGACAGAGAGTTTCTAACTTTGGGCATGCTCTCAGGCTCCTAATCGCCTGCAGCAAATAGATAAATACTACATCTTATTTTGTCATTGTTTGTGTAAACTTGATATGTGAAAACAAAATAATTTTTTATTTGTCCTCTTAGAGTAAGAAGGGTGGGCCATCATACTCAAAGTACAAAGTTTTTATCACTCCTGAAAACTCATCTTGGCAGCCCAGTGGCAATCTTATGGGCATGGAGATGGTAAAGGTTTTATGTGGGAACTGCCTGCTGAGAAGACGGGCCCATGACTCCAGGCAGATATTAAACTTAGGCTGGGAAGCAGCTGGCTTGTGTCATGAGGCCTTTTGCCTACCTGTAGAAAGGAGGAGAACTTGTGCCAGGATCCTCAGGGTTCAACGGAGGCAGTTGTCCTCCAGCTGGTGAGTAATTCAGGGGCAATAGCTAGTGGGTTATTTCTAAATATTATTGATAAAGACATCATTTTCTGTTACTCAGTGATAGATAGAGAAGGAGAGCCAGAAAGAAGGATCACAGCCAAAGGAAGAAGGTAGGGTTAAGTGGACAAAGGAAAGATAGAGGTCTTTAGGATCCTGAACATTGAACAGATGCATACAGCTTGCTGTGGCTCCTCTAGACCCTCCACTGTGTATCAGTTGTAGAGAGCAATGGATGTGACTGGTAGGGAGGTGGTCATGGTGGTGAGTGGTGGTGTATTCTAGAGAGAAGGAAGAAAGGAAGTGCTGGGACTTGGTGAGTAGAGTGGAGGTCTAGGAACCCAGGCACGACAGTCACTGGCTGAAGAAAGTGGCAGGGGAGGCTGCACAGACCAGCACAGACGGCCACGCTGCTTAGTTCCTGTCATCTTGACACCACCAGTGTCAGCTGGCAAGAGGACACCTTAGCTGAGGACTTGCCTCCATCAGATTGGCCTGTGGCCCTCGGTGGGGCATTTTCTTGATTCATGATTGGTGTGGGGAGGCCCAGCCCTCAGTGGGTAGTGCTAGCCCTGGACATGTTGTATAAAGAAGTCCTCTGTTGTATAAGGAAGAAAGTTCAACAAGCCATAAGAAGCAGGCCAGTAAGCACAATCCCCCTAATGCCTCTACCTCAGTTCCTGCCCTGAAGGACTGTAAACCGTAAGATAAACCCTTTCCTCCCCATGTTGCTTAGCACTGCAAGAGAAAGAATACAAGGAAAATGATGTTACACACAGTCCAGCATCTGCGAGTCTTGAACTTTATTCTAAGGAAATTTGGGAAACCACTTAGTAGTCTCAAGTGGGGAAATAAAATGTTTGCATATTTTTAAAAGTGTAGATCCATTGTGCATAATAAATCAGTAAAAGACAGTAGTTAATGTGGAAAAAATATCCATAACTGTGCTTGCTGCCTCCTCCTCCTCCTCCTCCTGACAATTTCATACACATATATAATGAGTTTTTGGTCATTTCCACCCCCATTACAATGTCCTCTGAAACCCCCTTTATCCCAACAAGTCTTTAAATAGCACGTGTGTGTGTGTGTGTGTGTGTGTGTGTGTGTGTGTGTGTGTGTGTGAGAGAGAGAGAGAGAGAGAGAGAGAGAGAGAGAGAGAGAGAGAGAGAGAGAGAGAGAGAGGGGAGGGGAGGGGCCCTCACTGAGTTTAATCACGGCTATTTGCATGAGTGTGACTGAGGGATATTTATTAGAGCATAGGCAGCTTATCTATGGCTTTACCACTGAGGAGAATGACACCTCATCCCACAGCAAACATTAATTTCCAAAAGTTGTTCAGGGAGAGGTGAGGTCTCATGTGTTCATACTGAAATGCTGATGGGCCCAATCTTGTGATCTTGTGTAGATCGTATGCAGGTAATTCCATGAGTTTGTTGGTGTAACAGCTGTGTCTTATCTGGATGGTGATGGGCCCAATCTTGTGATCTTGTGTAGATGATATTCAGGTAATTGCATGAGTTTGTTGGTGTAACAGCTGTGTCTTATCTGGATGGTGATGGGCCCAATCTTGTGATCTTGTGTAGATGATATGCAGGTAATTGCATGAGTTTGTTGGTATGGCAGCTGTGTCTTATCTGGATGACATCTTCCTGTAGCACTCATTCTTCCTGTACTCCCCTTGCTGGGATGTTCCCTGAGCCTTGAAGGGCTAGTGTACATAGATCTGTGCTTTTGAACATTGGTGTGTGCCTGTGTCCTTCTGATTTGGTAGATATGGATAGACCAGAACACCAGTCTTTCCAATAGGCCCTTTCTGCTCCTTCATGGACTGTACTCTGAACAGAAAGTATTTAGGCAGTTCTTAGGTTCTTTGTGAGAGTTGAGATGAGTGTAGGTGAGAGGATGGACCCTGTCTCAGTTACTGTTCTATTGCTGTGACAAAATACTATGACCAAACCAACTTACAAAAGAAAGCATCCAATTGAGCTTACAGTTTATAGTGTTAGAGTCCTTAACAGCAGAGCAAAGGCATGGCAGTAGGAACAGCTAAGAGCTCACATCTTGATATGCAATCAAGAGGCAGAGAGAGAACACTGGGATTAGTGTAAATGAGTCTTTTGAAACCTCAAAGCCCACTCTCAGGGACACATCTCCTCCAACAAGCCACACCTCCTAATCCTTCCCCGTCCTGTCCTGACCACCCACTCTCCTTCCTGGTAGCTGCTTCCAAATTACCACATAGAGACTTAATATTATTTGTAAATGCTCGGCCGATACCTTATTACTAATTAGCTCTTACATCTAAATTAACCTATTTTGCCACGTGCCTTGTGGCTTTAC